AAAATATATTTTTTTTCTTATTATAAGATTATAACAATATAATAAATTATAATGTAACAACGGCAACTTGCTGTGTATTTGTCATCTTTCTAGCGTGAGGGTTAAGATGTGTCAAATAGCACTGATAACACTTTTAAAGTCAAGGAGCAGATTCAAGAGACACAGAAAGGGGAGGGGGAGTCTTAGAAGCAGGGTTTGTGACAATATCAATAATTTGTTGGTGCTAAAAGCTTAGAGACAATTCTTGCTGGAGGGACTGCTGGGAGTTCTATGGACTGTCAGGTTGGCTGGAATGATATGGCAGGTGACAAGGACATATTAATGCTACACAAACCCTGAGAACTGAGCTCTAAAGACAAATGACAGTCTGGAAAAGCATGACCCTTACACTGCCACCAGCGTGTTGAATAACTGAAAATACATGCTGCATATTTCTTTTTTCCCCGCACATGCATAAAATATATATATACATACTCTATAACATTTTGCCTAAGAAAATTAAATACAGCGAGATTGTATCTAATTTCAAGCATGTATTGAGAAATTGATATAATTATTACATAGGTTTATCCCACTTTGCTCAGTAAGAGGCTAATAGAGGTAAGTCAGTTCAGATTGGACTAGAACCTGTATCTTTAAATGTCTGGACATTTTTAAAAACAAATGTTGCATTAACCCCTTAAGGACTGAGCCAATTGTACAAAGCGTAAACAAAACCTTGAATTTGCGCTTTATGTCTGTTCAGGCGTAATTCGCCTCTTTCATATTATGTGCACCCACACTTATCATATATAATTTTGTTTAGGAGAAACCTGGCTTTCGTGTCACACCAAATATTTGTATATTAAACATAATTTAATATGAATAAAATGTAAAAAAAAATGAGAAATTAAGATATTTTTTAATTCTTTTTGTTTTTCATGGTATTTTAACTCTGAAAATTTTAACTGTGAATGTCACAATACTGTTAGCTGTTACTGCAATAAGTACACATATATGTATTCAGTGATGTCTCATGGGTAAAACAGTACCCCCAATGTACAGGTTTAATGGTGTTTTGGAAAGTTACAGGGTCAAATATAGCACATTACATTTTTCAGTTTATACATATTGAAATTTGCCAGACTGGTTATGTTGCCTTTGATAGTGGCCCACCAAATAGTAGCACAGGATTAAAAATTACCCCTATGATGGCATACCATTTGCAAAAGTAGACAACCCAAGGTATTACAAATGGGGTGTGTCCAGTCTTTTCTAGTAGCCACTTTGTCACAAACACTGGCCAAAGTTAGCGTTCATATTTGTTTGTGTGAGAAAAATGAAAAAACTAAATTGAATGCTAATTTTGGCCAGTGACTACTAAGTGTCTAAGTGCCTACTAAAAAAGACTGGGCATACCCATTTGCAATACCTTGGGAAGTGTACTTTTGCAAATGGAATGCCACCATGGGGGTAATTCTCATTCCTGGGCTAACATACGGTCTCAAAGGCAACATAACCAACCGGGCAAATTTCAATATGAGAAAAAGGAAATTCAAGTCTTATGTTTGACTCAGTAACTTTTGAAAACACCATAAAACTTGTACATAGGGGGTACTGTTATGCTCGGGAGACTTCACCGAACACAAATATTAGTGTTTCAAAATAGTATCACAACAATTATATCGTAAGTGAAAGTACCATTTGTATGTGAAAATTTCAAAAAACTGCAATTTTACTGAATATATCATCGTTGTGATATGTTATACTATGTTTAAACGCTAATATTTGTGTTCAGCGAAGTCTCCCGAGTAAACCAGTAACCCCATGTGCAGGTTTTATGGTATCCTAGAAAGTTACAGGGTTAAATATAGGGCTTGCGAGCCAAATTCTCTAGACTTTCAGCCTGGGTTGTTGGGCAGGTCCCTCAGATTGTAATTAATAAAATTACTTGATTATGTAAAAATATTATATAAATAACTCTTTAGAAATTAAATATATATGTATATACATGTATATTTTATATGTGTGTATATATATATATATATATATATATATATATATAAATGTAAAAATCATTTAAAATTTGTATCTTGTAATACCTTTTTTATTGGACTAACAGGATTTTTTAATGACAAGCTTTCGGGAGAACTTCCCTTTCTCAGGTCTGAAGTATTTCTGAGCAAGACGACACATAGAATTCAAAGAATTCTATGTGTCGTCTTGCTCAGAAATGCTTCATACTTAACATTTTGGAGTCTAATTGTGGTAAGTCTCATTCGTTTGCACATCCATATCCTGTAAATTTTGACCATGCGGCTTAGTAATATTGCTCAAGCTCTGTTAGGTTTGATGGAGACCTATAGTTCCTCACATATTCCCAGTCGAACTGAGGCCTGGACCGTTTGACTGTGCAATTCAGAAACATTCAGGTTCTTGACTAAAACTGCTGGCAGGGCCTGTGCGTCAATTAGGCGATTTAGGCAGTCGCCTAGGGCGCACCGGCCCAGGGACGGAAGATTTGAGTGACCAGGCAGGAGGTAAGCGCACAGCCCACCCTCCTGCCAGTCACTCAGTGTAGTGTTGCCGGGTGGTGCGGACCACGGAACAGAAGCATCTGTTTCCTGTACCCGGCCGGACTGACTGGAAGTGCTCACTGAGAGAGGGGGAGGGGAGAGCACTAAGTGATGGGAGAGCACTAAGGGATGGTAGAGCACTAAAGGATAGGAGGTGATAAGAGAACACAAATGGATATGAGGAGATGAGAGAGCACTAAGGGACAGGAGGGGAGATGAGGAGATGAAACCACTAAGGGACTGGAGGAGTGAAAGAGATCATTAAGGCTCTCACACACAGACATGCCGAAACATACAATGCATCCTATACTCACACAGAAACACACCATGCTTCCCTTACACACACAGAAACACACAATGCATCCCTTACACACATACACACAATGCATCCCTTACACATACACAATGCATCATACACACACAATGCAGCCCTTGCACACATACACAGAAGCACACAATGCCTCCCTTACGCACACACACACACACACACACACACACACACACAAACACACACAGCTTTCTTACACACACATAGAAACACAATGCATCTCTTACACACACTCAATGCAACCCTTACAGTCACACACACTGCATTACATTACATAGATACACAGAAACACACACGTTGCATCCTTTACACATACAAACACAGATTCACACAATGCATTTCTTACACATAAACACACATTGCATCCCACTACATTCCTTAAGAACACATGCACATTACATTCTCTGCAATATCCCATAACACATCGCCTACACACATACATTCCACTCCCTGTGAGCGAACTCATGGGTGGGCCTTGAAGGCATAAGGATTATGGGCGGGCATATTCACAGTCAGGCCCTGTAAGGGGCCAAAAAAAATGGAGCTGTTCCTGTTCATTGATATTTTTGAGCAATGCCTCCAGAGAGTCTGTTTTAACACCAGACCAGAGGAGCCAGAGTGCAGCCTGTGCCCATCATAATCCTCTTATCCTCATCTAGTGGTACATAGGCAGGGCTCGAGTCCTGCAGGAACGCGTGGGAACGGCGTTCCTGCACTTTTTTCACAGCAGGAACGCCATTCCCCCTGCAGGCACTCAGGGGGTGGCAAAAAATGCCGCCCCCAAATGCCCCCCCTTGTTTCCCCTGTCATGGGGGGGGGGGCAACCTGATGGATTGCCCCCCGGTGAACGGCTCTCTCCCTGTCACACGCGGAGAGGGAGCTGTGTCCTCTCTGCTCCCTCTCGCCGCACGGGATGTCTGCTGATGCTGGGAGCCGGGTTGATGACGTCATATTCCGGCTCCCAGCATCAGCAGACATCCCGCGCGGCGAGAGGGAGCAGAGAGCACACAGCTCCCTCTCTGCGTGTGACAGGGAGAGAGCCGTCCTCACTGCAGCCCCACTGGACCCCAGGGAAAGGTAGGGATGCTGGGTGGGTGGGATATGTTAATTTTTTTATAATATTATTAAG